TGTGTGTGTGTGTGTGTGTGTGTGTGTGTGTGTGTGTGTGTGTGTGTCTTAAAATTACAGATAGTTTTAGTTTGCGCCTTACACTGCTGCTGGTTGTCTGACCCGGAGAGTCCATTGCTATATCAATGCTCGCTGTTATTTTTGTCCGAGAGTGGAAACCATATAGCCCCACAGGCCTCGGGCAAGGCAAGGGAGATGACTGTGGACTATGGTGGCATGCTCGCATGTTTAGCAGCAACTAACATTCTCTCACTCACACCGGGTCATATTTTTGTAAGTGTTAATCATAGAAAGAGTCTCAGAACATTACCCACGAGTGTGGGGACTTCTGCTTTACAACTCAACAGCGTATTTTGCCAGTTAGTTTAGCCTCAAAATGACTTGTCAGAAATGACAAGTCATTTCTTTTGGGGTCATTATAGCACATGATATAAACACAAATCTGTATTTTTGTTCCAGGAAAGCTGTTAATGTAAATATGTAAAATTTTCTCTCAAGAGCAACAGCAGACCTGCTCTTTATTTGTTTAGAAAGCAGACAAACATGCAGACAGACAGGGAGTTAGGTTTTCTTTGCATGGGATTGTATTTCAGAGCACCAGTTCACCATCTTGGAGGCAATAACTATGAAAACCACATTGAGAGTATGAATGAATTTCTAAAGGGGGAACAGATTATCATCACTCATGTGCTTAATTTAATTCTTTTGACAGGTTATATTGTGAAATCAATACCTTCAAATGTTAATAAAACCCAAAACATCCCTTTTGTATTGTGTAGCATATCAGCTTGTGAGACACAAGTCTCGTCGTTAGCGTGGGTGTGTTGGTTAGCTGTTATCAAAGGGTGAGCTGACCTATTTCAGTGATACCCACTGGGCCTATGCCACTAGCCTGGATGCACTGTATGCTGGAAGAGTTCCAACACGAAGGAGAAACTTGACACATTTACTCTGAATTTACTTGGCAGGAAAATGCATTAGATCATTGGCTTGCAGCTGCAAATTTACGACCGAGATTAAAGAAAAAGCCATTTCATTATGTTAATCAAGTGTGTGGGACGACCCGTGCGAATTTTCTAAATCTGTCAATTGACAGCCCTCATTAGCTCGTATTTCCCTCTCTGTTTTTTTTTCAGGTGTACATCAGAGTCCAGATAATGCTCAGACATGGTGCCTTGTCAGACCCATGTGTTGCTGAAGTGGCAGGAGCACTTCAATAGCTCCTGGGCAGCAGAAGACAGTGTGCAGACAGCCAGGAGGCACGGAGCCGCTGTGCTCTACAATAAGCTCCTTCTCAACAAGGAAGTGGTGACTCTGGCACAACCTGTGCAAGAACTCGTCGGCCCACGCCTGCCAGACTTCGAGTGCGAGTCCAGTGCCTCGGCGGAGAAGGAAGAGTACCTTTCATCCCTGCTTCACAGCCAGCGATGGCTGGCTCACCGGATGCTGACGCAGACCTCCTACACCTTGGGCCTCCACCACAGGCTGGTAGTCCTCCAGAGGGTCTACTACGCACTTCACCGAAAATACCATGACAAATTCCGCGTGCAGCTGCCCTCCCAGTCCACAGACGGTGGCACCGGATGTGGGCAACTTGAGCTGGCCTCACAGCCCTGCCGGCCAGGGGGAGCATCCAAAGTCAAGTCGGGTACGGATGTTCTGATCGAGATGGGCGTGCGGACGGGTTTGAGTCTGCTCTTCTCGTTGCTGCAGCAGAACTGGAGGTACGCGGCCTCCGTGCATCCGGAGTCGGTTCTCTGCAACGACGTGCTCGCCACGGCGTCCTCTGTGCTGACGTCTCTGCCGCCGCTCTCTCTGGCCAACGAGAATAAGATCCCGTCAGTTGGGCTCGACTGCCTGTCACAGGTGTCCGACTTCCTGAAGAAGACGTCTGTGAGCAGCGGGACCGGTGGGGCGGACCCGACCGGCCGGAGGCTAGCGCTGGAGCTGCTGCTCGGCCTGGCCATGCAAAGAGGCTCTCTAAAGTTTCTGCTGGAGTGGGTGGAGGTAGCCCTGGCTGCTTCTATGTCCTCATCCTCCTCTACACTGTCTTCCTCCTCCTCCTCCTCCTCACTGAGCTCCCATAACTCAGCTGGCGTGGGCTTTGATGTCATCCATCAAACGCTTCTCCAAATGAAGCAATATTCGGTAGGTCTTCAAATTTGGACCTTTGTTTTTTTTTGTCTATTGTTGCCTTGTAGTCTTTTCTGGTGTTTTTGGAGTAATCTTTCTCTTACTGTTCCATTAACTTTATTCAGACATGACATGTCAGAGCAACTCCTTTGTCCTTACATCGCATGATTGACTTACATGCACATTTATGAACATACTGGTAAATGAGGCCCATCGATTGTAAAGCAGGATAATTGCTCTACGCCGCCACATCCATCCCGGCTCTAAGCTGTTCTTTTTGTTTGAACGGTCTCATTTGAAACTTTGAGCGATGCATTTGTGTGCAGATAAGGATTAAGATTGAGCCAGTCTTCCTTCCCTCCCTCTGTATTCGTATTGAGTTATCCCTTAGCAGGCTAATCAGCTTTGCAATATTTCTAGACAAGGACAACAAGGACTGGGTATTGCCAACATCCTCATGATTGATTTAGCCCGTCCTACACACAGTTTCAAGCACTGTAATAGCTTAAGAAAGTCACAAAACATAAAACACACTTGAGATCTGCATCTAGCAAAGGCTAGGATCTAAAATGTGTGCCTCTTTGTCTTTCTTGACTTCATCTTCTGCCTGATCATGCAGTGACTCATCACTGTGTTTGGAATTAAGGCTTTTGTTTCTGGTTTAGAAAGAATGTGCAAGTAAAACGTGAGGAATGTGATAAAACAAGATGTATTGTACATTCAAACCAACCTCATGTTTACACACCGGGAGTCTCAGGTGAAGGTAGAAACACACTATGTTGATGGGTAAACAAGTATTTTTCTCCCCCAGGGTTTCCGAGGGGATTCAGTCAATTCTCAGGTGCTGAAAAAGGATGCAGACGGACTTTGTCGACTCTCCCAGGCAGCTCTCTGCCTGTTTGAGGAGGTACTTACTCTGTAACATTTAGGCACTATTAAGAACTGATGCACTTTCCAGTAACTGACTTTATGGACCTCACCCTCCTCTCCTTTTGACAGATTTGTAACCTAGCCTCCTACTGCCTGTGCTCCTGCGGCACTAATGCAGCTGCTCCTGGTTCAGAGAGTGACACGGTCATGGTGTATGTGTGGGGCAGCAACAGCAGCCATCAGCTGGCAGAGGGGACTCTGGAGAAAATCCTGCTGCCAAAGCTGACTCAGGGCTTTAGTGATGCCCAAATGGTATGGCTACCCATAATACTGATAACCCATAATATTACTCTGCCACTTTACATCTCAACTTTTAACATTCTTGTTCTTTTTTTATCCACTTTGTCCGTCTTTTAGATCGAGGCAGGCCAGTACTGTACATTTTCAGTATCTGCAGACGGTTCAGTTAAAGCATGTGGAAAAGGCAGCTATGGCCGCCTGGGCCTGGGGGACTCCAACAACCAGTCCATGCCCAAGAAACTTGTGCTGGAGCCACACAGGAACATGAAGAAGGTGTCCTCCTCCAAGGGCTCTGATGGTCACACTTTGGCCATCACTGTAGAGGGAGAGGTAACAAGTTAATATTACTACTATATGTACTGATACATATTTCAAAGGTCTGCAGACTGTAGCAGTCAAACTTACATTTTAACTGCTTTTTCCCCTCACTTCTACTTCCTCTGTTGGTATTAGTAAGATTTTAAATGACAAATCAAATTCTTCCCTTTCTTCATAATGAATTCTAAAATGTTCAAAATCTGTTTTCCAGGTGTTCAGCTGGGGTGATGGAGAGTATGGGAAACTGGGCCATGGCAACAGTGCGACACAGAAATACCCCAAAATCATACAAGGACCGCTGTTTGGCAAGGTAGACATTCAGAAAACCTTCTACTTTATTCATTTGTGTATATTTATTTGCAAAGCCATGCGATTTACCATAATTTTGCATACGTTATGGTGTCTCTGCCAGGTTGTTGTTTGCGTGTCTGCTGGCTACAGACACAGTGCCGCTGTGACTAATGATGGAGAGCTTTATACCTGGGGAGAAGGCGACTTTGGAAGACTCGGTACACACTTTATTTCTCAATTTGCTCTCAACCATTTCAGTGAAGCATGTTGTGCAACAACCCTCTGTTGTGCTGTGTTTCTCCCCCCCGAGCAGGTCACAGTGACAGTCAGAGTCGGAACGTGCCCACGCTGGTGAAGGACATCAGCGGTGTGGGGCAGGTGGCCTGTGGCAGCTCCCACACCGTTGCTGTGGCGCAGGATGGACGCACTGTGTGGTCCTTTGGGGGAGGGGACAATGGTAAGTTGGTAGATGACATATAGCTTGATTTAAGCCCATAATGCAGCGTCTGTGTGAAAGATTATAACTTCTGTACAATATATAAATTGCTTGAAAATAACAAACACTATGTCTGTCTGTACCATAGAAGGATCGTTTGTGGTCCATCTTAACAGAAATGCCTCTGCTTAAGGTAGAGTGAATTAATGCTGGTTCTCGGACACGACTCATTTTTGCAGGTAAACTGGGTCACGGAGACACCAATCGTGTGTATCGGCCCAAAGTCATAGAGGCCCTGCATGGATTCATCATCAGGAAAGTGTGTGCTGGCAGCCAGTCATCTCTGGCCCTTACCTCTGCAGGACAGGTGAGGTGCAGCATCGTGGGTCAACTTTCAGCTAACCTTACCTGAGCTAAGCTCACTTGGCTCTTTCTACACTCTCCTTGTGGAAAGCTTTTATTCTAAAGGAGCATACTAACATCACCTTAAAGTGAGATTGTCTATTTGAGTGAAAGCAATGGTATTGTCCTCAGAGTTTAGCAGTTTTTTTGTTTGTACACAATGGAGAAAAACTGTAATACAGCATTTATTCCTGGGAATGTGGCTGCTGACACCCACTTTAATATTGCAGATATTTGAATTTTGCAATACTTCAGTGGGAAATAGGCTCAATCACCATTGTGTTACCTCCTTCAGTGATAGAGAGTGACTTAACAGACATTTATTTAAATGAAAGTCTTCGATAATGCCACTTTAACAAATGCCACTCTAGTTCTTCATCAGCTCCTGATGTATGTAGTCTAAATAATGTATCTGTATTCAATTACATCCTAAATACAAGGATGGAATACAGTGACATCTAAAGAGATACAGAAAAGACACTCATGTTTATTCTTTTTTTCATTTAGGTGTTTGCATGGGGCTGTGGCTCCTGTTTAGGATGTGGCTCCTCTGAGACAACCTCTCTGAGACCCAGGTTCATAGAAGACCTGAGTATCACCAAGATCATTGATATCTCATGTGGGGACAGCCACTGTCTGGCTCTGACGCATGGTAAGAGACCTTCAACAGTTAATCGTCATTTAAAAAAAAATGTATTTTGGGTAACAATTGTAATTTCTATAGAGGGGTTAATGGGATATTACAATTGTGAATATGCTCTGACTGCAACGTACACTGCACTCCTTCCATCAGAGAATGAGGTGTATGCCTGGGGGAACAACACGATGGGCCAATGTGGACAAGGCCACACTTCGACACCAATTACCAAACCCAAGAAAGTGCTCGGTCTAGAGGGGGTGTCGATCCAGCAAATCACTGCTGGCACTTCTCACAGCCTGGCTTGGACCGCAGATCCAACTGACAGGTGAAGCCTAATCTTGTCTCAAACTAATTCAAGTGTTTCTTTTCTGAAGTCCATGTAATAGTTGTGTTTAATTGGTTTTCCCTTGATTGTTGGTCATTGTTTTATTCCGCTGAACTCTTGTTTTCTCACCCCCCCTGTCTTATGAGTTCTGATATGTTTGTGCTTGCACAGCTCTTTTTAAGAGACTTACTTCTTTTCCAGGCAACTGGTGGCGTGGCACAGGCCCTTTTGTGTAGACTTGGAAGAGAGTACGTTCACCTACCTACGCAACTTCCTAGAGAGTTACTGTGACGGCATCGGGAATGACACGCCCCCTGCCCCCTTCATATCTAAAAGGTATGCAAATAAATGAACATAGCACTCTATCAGTCGTGATAATATAACCTGTTTAAAGAAAATTGTGTGTTTGAGATCTCATTCAGTATAGAGTCATGTGCAAAGATCTGTCTTCGTGGCGCATTGAGCTCTGATCAGTTATAATGAATTGAATCTGTGTTTTTATCCCATTACATCACCACCCACAGGAGGCCACATGGAATCCCACACTGTAATATTCCCTCCTATCCACTTAACCAACATTCCTAATGCTTTCTGTTTACATTCCTCAGGGACCACCATCAGTTTCTTTTGCTGTGCATGAAGCTGCTGTCCATCCACTTATCCTTGGCCCATGCTGGCGGCACTGGGGCCATGGTTTTGGGGGCTCAGGGCAGGCCCCTCAGAAACCTGCTCTTCCGGCTCATAGATACCAATATGCCAGACTCCATACAACAGGTAAACTAACAGCCCAGCTCTTACTAGATTATTTCCGTAATATCTTTAAGATGAGTTGTGACAGGAGGTGGTGTTGTCTGCAGGTGTAAGAACCAAGATAGTAAGAACAGTTTTGTGTGTAATATAAACTGTGAAGTAGATTGATAGAGCCTTTATTTATTTACGCACTTGCAGTAAATGCTAACCATCAATTTCCAAGTGTCTTTTCATGTTGTGTTGACATTCCTGTCCATCCTCAGGCAGTTCTGAACACGCTGTCCATTGGTGCATCCCTGCTGCTTCCTCCACTGAGGGAAAGAACAGAGCTGCTCCTGTCCCTCCTTCCTCAGGGCCCTCAGAGCTTAAATGTCCCCTCCAAAGGACAGGTATGCCATTTTTGCCTATTTGTGCCTCAACAAATCACCATTCAGGGGGGGGTTTTGTTAACGAAGATGTTTATGTAAATACATAACACGCATAAACAACTAGAAAATTCCGAAAGAAATTTTGACAGTGTGGCTTCTACTGCCCGAAGAAATCGCAATATATACACACGCCAATGTTACCGGTAGTGTCATTCAGGTTCAATTGAGATAGCGCTACTCTCTTTTCTGCATTTTAGATTCACACTCTTGGATTGAATCTTGTATTTGTGGGGCTTTTATTTTGAAAGGGTGGGACTGGGTGGGTGAGAGAGGGGGAGAGGAAACAGAATCATAATGTTTGACACTAAAATGAGAGGCTTCATCACAAGCATTCCAGTTAGAATTCATTCTGTGGGGCTTTTAATTTAAAATGGGGGGAGGGGGGTGGTGAGAGGGGAAAAGTCCTCTAAAAATATCTAAGACCTGAATGACTATGATAGAGAGAGACACAGAGAGGGAGAGAGAGACAGACAGAGAGGAGAGAGAGGCTGAGTGAGACAGGCAGACACAGTTAGATGGACTGAGTGAGTGGGAGAGTGAGACAGGCAGATAGACAGTTATAGGCTTTTATTTTAAAATGGGGGGGGAGTCCTCTAAAAGCCTCCAAGACCTGAATGACTGTATGAGAGAGACACACACACACA